TGGCAAGCGATTAACCGAGTATTTAAATACTTGAAGGGAACCATGAACTATGGATTAACTTACACCGACTTTCCTTCTGTTTTGGAAGGATACTCGGATGCAAGTTGGATAACTAATATGGAAGATCACTCTTCCACGAGTGGATGGATATTCCTTCTCGGTGGAGGAGCAATTGGTTGGGCATCAAAGAAACAAACTTGCATAACTAACTCTACAATGGAGTCTGAGTTTGTGGCTTTGGCGGCAGCTGGTAAAGAAGCAGAATGGCTAAGAAATCTGATATATGACATTGCATTGTGGCCAAAACCAATATCTCCCATATCTATCCGATGTGATAGTGAAGCTACTTTGGCTAAGGCTTATAGTCAAGTTTACAATGGGAAGTCAAGACACTTAGGTGTGAGACACAACATGGTTCGAGAGCTCATCATGCATGGTGTGATATCAGTGGAGTTTGTAAGGACTCAACAAAATTTGGTTGATCATTTAACCAAAGGGTTAAGTAGAAACCTTGTGCAAAGATCGGCTATAGGGATTGGATTGAAGTCTATATAAATTTCTCAGGGTAAGAATCCCAATTCCCATATAATAAGACATTAGATGCTGAATTCAATGTGGAAAATCTTAACATCTAGAAATTGGAACACATTAAGTTTATTATCCCAAAGCATGTGTTCAGACCTGTAAGATTACGAGGATGAAGTACGTCTTCTTAATAGTTCTTTTGAAAAATTGCATATGCAGGTGCAAGAATAAAGAGGACTACCTATATGAGCATGAAGTTTAGCCGCTTCAAGAAGTAGAGACTTCACTTCGATATGCTTATGAAGGATTAGGACACAAGGCTAGTAAATAATAGTGTCAAGTTAGAACATTAAAGTATGTAAACTTTTGTGTATATTATCTTCATGTATTCAAAATGAATAGCAAGGGTTCAATCCGTAGTGATACCCTGATATTCGAATATTTGAAATGTGTAATGTACTAAGATGAAATTCAATCGTCACGATATTTCATTTATGCATAAGTTTGTTATTTGCTGTGAATTTGTTTAGTTAATCAAGGATTACACTAAAATAGGGGAGGAATGTTATATATTTTAGTGTAATTGGAAAAACTACGACCAATGGTATCCTAATAATCATCAAAGAAGTTTGGTGGTGCGGAGTGCACGCTTCATTGAGTTTGTTACGATATAAAACCCGTTACACCGGGGGTTCCAAGGGGGCAGCGCCCCCGAGCAGGGTTCAAGGGGCGGCAGCCCCTGCGGGGTCCAAGGGGCAGAGCCCCTGGCTGGGGGCTCGAAAATTTTTTATTTTGGGCTCGGTGCTATGTTAAAAAATTCAATTAGAATTTTAATTTCGAATTTTCTTTAAAAGAAAATTCGATGGATAGGACCGAATTTTGAAGAAGAAACTTCCGCGCGAAGAGTTGCGTGCTTTGGGTAATAGCCGCGAATGGTGTCTTCTCCTTCTCACCCCTAGTCTATAAAATCCCCCTGCGCATGGTCGAATTTCGTTCGGTTTTTACACAGCAATTCTCATATTTCGTTCTTGATACTTTCGAGTTTTATCCGATTGAATTTTGGAGTGAACAACCAAAATATTCAATCTGAAAGTGTTTACACAACTCTCGATTCATCCAAGTTATCATTAATTTCCCCAAGACGGCACTCGTTGCAAAGCACAAGAAGTGTGACACCACGTTCTTTATTAGGTCTAATTTCAAAAGATATTCTTAAACAATGTAATAGTCATAATAGTTTTGATTTTAGACATATCAGAGCATGTGACAATGGTGCAGCTCATTCTTTAGCAAAATTATAACTTTACGGGTTAGAGAGTAAATTATGGTCAGAAGGTGGTACTAATAAGACTTTGGAGTTGATTGAAATAGATTTATGTAACCTTCTCATGTAAATTTGTTTTATTTAAAAGATACTCATTTACATAGTATTCTTTCCGTCCACCTAAAATCTTCTCATTGCGCGTTACGAGTTTTGACTTATTTTATTTTCAATTCAATTTATTTGAATATAGGAGTAAAATTTTAATATAAAATCTATGTAGTAATAGACTACATGAAAAATTCTACAAAATTAGAGGTGACAACACTATATTATTTTATAAAATGAGTAGTAAAAATAAACAAACAAAGTGAATTAAGTTTGACTCTGTGAATAGTGTCTGAGAAGATCTGGACAGAGGGAATAACAAATACTTATTTTATTTATATATAAGTGTATAGACCTATGATAAATTTCAAATTCATCATGGAATGTGGCTTTATATAATGATGAATGAACATTTAGATGTGTTTGGTGATAAAAACAAAAAAAACACTATTCTAGACTTCTAGTACCGGTAGGATTAAGATCAGACATCTAGCACCGTTCCGACCGAATGAGACCCTCCCTAACTAAGAAGAGGGAGATTTTGTGTTTTGAAAGAGGTTGAAAATCATCAAGCTGGATCTGAATCAAAGCAGAGAATGTGCATAGCTGCTTTCCTATGGAAATCTCACCCGCTCTACCCATTTCTTCTCTTCCTCAACCGGGACGAATACTATGACAGGTACCCCACAAATTTCCTATTCCTATTCTTCTTTCCCATGTCTTTCTAAGTATTCAATCTTTTCGCTGGGGTGGACTGAATCGGAAGGCCCACGAAGCCTCTGGGGTGGTGGGAGGAGGGCGACGGCGAGATCGCCGGCGGGAGAGACGGTTCTGCCGGCGGCACTTGGCTATGCTGTAACACCAGTGGGAAAGTTGCTTTCCTTACCAACGTCCGGGAGGGGGTCGATCCCTCCTCTTCTCCAGCCAAAAGCAGGGGTGAGCTCCCTGTTCGCTTCTTAAAGGTACGCCCACCACCCGTTTGATCATTTGTCTCCATGAATTTTCAACACTTACATGTTACATCATCGGCATAATATTTAATACTCCCCCTCTCTAAAAAAATGAACACAATTTGACTTTTTGGTCAAACTGTAACACTTTTTTACCACAAATTAAATATAGTTTAAAATAATTAAACATTATAAAAATTAAATATTTCAAAACTATATTTTAAAATAAACTCAATTTTACTAAATTTACATTACAACTAAATATACTTTTTTCATAATTCGCAGTCGAAGGGTGACGCTGTTTGACCAAAAAAATCAAACTGTGTGGAACTCGGAAGGTGTAAGAATGTTTAACATGTGTCTTTACATGTCTATGAAAGGTTAGGATGAGTGGTAGAAGAATTAGGAAATTCCAAACCAAAACCAAAACCAAATGACAATGAGGAATAAACTCATATTCTTGTATGTGAGTCTTTTTTAGCTTGATGTTCAATGAAGGACTATGCCCTCAACTATCCATCAAGTGCAACTCTGGTCTTCTTATCTCAAATTGTCACTTGCTCTTGCTCTAATAGACGTGTGTTCTTTTTTTTTTTTTTACTTGAGCTCCTAAGCCTTAATTATGATACCGTGTAGAATTTGGAGATTCCAACCCAACCCGATCATACTTGACAGTGGGAGGAGTAGCTCATATTCTTATATTAGTCTTTTTTGGCTTGAGTGTTCGATGTAGGACTATATCCTCAACAATTGTGTTGAAATGGGAGGAGTAGCTCATATTCTTATAATATAGTCTTTTCAACTACCGTCTGCCATTTTCCGCCTTCAAAACACCCAACTTTGGGTGCCTGAGGGCACTAGACAGCTTAGTAATTGGAAAAGGTTGGTCTTTAAATGGACTAGTAATGCCATTTTGAAACATTTGGAGTTACAAAAATGTTTAGGCTTTGCCTCTGCTTTTAGCAGATGTGCCAAGATATGGGATGATAATGAAAATAGAAATTTATATACAAGTTAGACAAGAACAACAAGAATGATCAATTGTTTTTTGCATTTCCATTTATGCCTCTTGGCTTTTATTTCAATTAAAATATGTATGTTTAAAGAAAAGCCAAATGGTATAAATGAGAATGCAAAAAATGTGACCATTCTTGTTGTTTATGTCTCACATGTTGGAAGAGAGAATAATGAGTGGGGGTTCATGCACATTTTCTTCCATTGGTCTTTCTTCGGTAAGGGGAAAACTCATTTTCTTCTTTTTTCTCTGCTCTACATTTCTCTCCTCCTGTAGCCTATCCTATCTAACACGAGTCCGATTATTTTGACACCAAGGAATATGACACCGGCTTTACAGTGTTTCGTTCGATTCTGTACTTGATTTTTAAGACTCCAATTCCTTTGACACCAAGGGCCGGTGTCATTATATGATGCTGGTCCTATGGTGCTTCCTTCATTCTGAAGTAGTTTTTATCCTTCCTAAGCTCCTGCAAACTTTACATGCCCCCATCTCAACCCCCTAGCCTCCCTCTCCCTTCCCCCTTGAATGACAACCCATTGTCAAATTTTTAACAATAGATTGTCACTTGGGGAGATAGGGCGAGTTGGGATTGGGGCATGGTTGGGTGTCAAAAGAATCCAATGTACTATCAATTATCAAAGTGCTTGATGACACTCTTCCCTATTTTGTTTGGACATTCTCTAAAGAGCACTTGCATTATCATCTTAATTTCACCATTTTTATAATCATTCAATTGTTTGTCATGTTTTATGGTTGCAAGAGTAATAAGAGCCCTCATGATTTCGCCGAGGAACTCACGGGAGAAGCTGAGCTTTTTGGCGGGTTTAACCTGGTGGTGGTTGATCTATGTTCCATGACCATGCTTTACATAACCAATAGACCAAAGGGCAAAGGTTTCTTAGTTACAGAGGTATCCCCTGGCATCCATGTCTTGACTAATGCAACATTAGACTCTCCATGGCCCAAGGTAATCAATCAAGTTTCATGAGACTCTTCTTGACGACTCAATCATATCCAAACCACTCTCTCTTTTCCTTTCAATCATGATCGAATCTGTTCATTGTTTTTTCTTTCAAGGCTCAAAGGTTACGGAGAGGTTTGAAGATGGTTCTGGAGGAATACGGAGAGTCCGAAATTCCAGTGGAGTCAACAGCAAAAGAGCTGATGCAAGACACGACAAGAGACGAGGACGAAAATGACCTTCCCGGGATCCTCTCGCCCGAATTTGAGTTCCAATTGAGTTCCATATTTGTTGAAATAGAATCGCCTTCGGTTCTCTCTCTCTCTCTCTCTCTCTCTCTCTCTCTCTCCCTCCCTCTATCTCTCTTGCATAATTATTCTATAGAGTAAGGTTCACATCTAATATGTAGACCTGCTCACATAACTTTAACTTGCTAGTCTCATAATCTTGGAAAAGACCCATCAACATTGCAAAAAATCAAACATTTCAAATAAGGTCCACGAAAACGAAGTGGACCTAAGACACACCAAAGCATTTGCGAATCTTGATTACGAATGATGTTTATGATTCACAGGGGCGGCGTTACGGAACAAGAAGCACGTCCGCATTGGCGGTGAACAATTCCTCGGAGGTCAAGTTTTACGAGAGGTCTTATCATGTGAATGGTCTGTGGGAGGAACAAACCATTTCCTTCAACATGAAGTTCTTGCTCTGTACTTGAAAAATCACACCAATAACAAAAGTTGTGGAGGCACCTACCCTTTCCATAAACTGTGAGTGAACGTTTCTGCACTTCTATGAACTTCTTGATTTCCTAGCTGTTAATTATTCTGTGTAAATCACTTAATTAGGATACCAATGTGTACTTCTCCATCCCATAAAAGTTTTTCTAACCTTCTTTTATTTTTGTTTCCAAAATGATTTTTTCACTTTTCTCCCTTTTTAAAAAATGAATGTGTATTCCAAAATAGTCCCTTTCTTCTTGGGAGTTGGGAGAATCACCTCTATTTCTGATAGAAACAATTAGGGTGGAGGGTGTACATACTCTTCATACTTCTCTTACAGCATCATCGTTGTCCTCTACATCAACTTGACATCGTATTTCACTAATTTTATACTTTTCTTACTACGTGCGGGGGTATATATATGCCAATTCGCCAACTTATTACTAGAATGATTTTTTTAAATAATTAAATTAAATCAATAATCTAAATTAATTTTAAATATTTTTTAAGTAATTAACTCCAACCAATAATATAAAATAATTTTAAGATGTGTATTAAATACTCCATCTATAATAATTTAATAGTTTGGGTTTGACTCTTTGTAGAGTTTAATAAGATAAAACTGTATAATTAAAAATAATCTAAAGAGTGATTACCTATACCAAAAAAAATATAGCTAAATAAAATACATATTCTTATATAATTAATTCTAAAATAAAAAAATAAAAACACAGAATAAAAACATAAAAATAATGAAATTGGAAGCGTAGTCTAATCGACAAGTTTGGTAAATGCTTAGACCTTCATACTTAGAGCACTGGTAATACGTTTGAAGCCCCGGGGCTTCAAACCGGGGCTTCAAACTTTCTCTCTCTGCCACGTCAGCTTTAACTTACACCCAAAATTCACTGAAAATGGGTTTGAAGCCCCGGGGCTTCAAAACTGGGCTTCAAACCTTCATTTTTTACATTTTTAAATATACATCTTCTAAAATTAAATTAATAAAATGTACTTAATTTATTATTTAATTAAATTGAAACACGAATAATAAAAAAACACATTAATTAAATAAAAAAAGCGACAATAATTTAAAAAAAAAGATACATTAATAAAAAAAACTAAGGTAAATTATATTTCTCCTTGATCTCTCTCATTCTTTGCTCGTAGATAATTCGTCCAAACTCCGACAATGTCCCGGGGTCGGTTTGCATGACTTTCATTTCGACCTCCTGCTCCTTTAGCTTCAACTCCTTCTCTTTAAGCTTCAACCTCTCTTGTTCTTGGAGATTGAACGCCCGAAGTTGTTCAATCATTGCCCGGCCGATTTCGTCGCGGGGAGAAGCGGAAACAGAGGCGGACCCTCCCGAACCAGAGGCAATGGATTTTGCCTTCTTTCTTTCGATCGGCCGTGGAATGGGGTCCTCGTCATCGGAATCCGCAACGTTGAAGGGAGGGATTTGATCGGTAGAACCGATAGTCTCGTCGACCTCAACCTCGGCGGCGACGGTGGATCTTTTCCGCAATGATCCGCCGTCGGGATTGTTGAGTTGCCACTTCGGGGAACGACTCAAAATCTTCCAAAGATCGATGGGCACTTTGCCTTGGTTCCCGTCGTCTTGATACCGGGCCGTGGCAAGCCGGAGAATATCGGCGTCGTTCGTGCCGCTCCTCCGGGACCGGGAGCATTCCTCGTAAACTCCCATAAACTTTCGGACTTTTTTGTTGATGTGGCACCATTTGGAAGTGAGTTGGTCCCGGGTTCGGTAGGAGCCGTCCTTCTTCATCGCCGTGAAGAACTTCTCCTCGATACAATCCCACATCGCATCCTTCGTTTGCTCCGTACCTTTAAAAATGTGTTACATAATTTGTTTAGACACCATTAAATATAATATATATAAATAAAAACATAAATATATTAGAAAAAATAAATTTTTTACCAATGATAGGATGCTCGGAGACGTCAACCCAAGCCGACGCCAATATGCACTCCTCCTCCGGCGACCACTTTTTGATTGACCGTGCCGCCTCGGTCAACGTGCTTTTGGCTTTGTGGCTCCTCCGGCGTGTACTTTTTTTCGATCCGGACGGTTCCGGTTGAGTCTCCAGAACCGAATCTCGGTCGACGTACCCCGATTGTTGCGCCTCGTATATCGGCGGTCGATCGCCCCACTCTTGGTAGAACCACATCGCGGCGTCACTCGGCGGGAGATCGTCGGGAACGAAGCCGGAGCCGGAAGGATTCATGTTGAATAGAAAGAGGGTAATTTCGAATTTTAAAATGGGAAGAAGAAGAGATTGAGAAGAGAAAGTGTGAGAGATTGGGAGGGGGGTTTGAATTTATAAAAATTTTTTTTTTTTTTAAAAAATGGGATAAACGGCTATAAAGCCATTGGGAAGGGGAGGGGTTTCGAATGACGCCGCGTCATTCGTTTGACGCAAGGGCGATCACGCCCGAAGGGGGGCGGTGTTTCACGCCGGCGGGGCGTTAAACGCCCCCTCACGCTGTGGGGCGTTGCTGGTATTACCAGTGCTCTTATACTTTTTGGTGCCCTTTTATAGCAAATGTCACATAAGTTGAATTTGGTACCAAATAGTGTTTACTTTAGCCACACTGTCCACCCTTACAAGCTCGTTAGACCCAATATCTTCAACACTTTATTACGGAGTAATATTTATCTTTAACTATATAACCACTCAATTAAAGCCTAATTTGCCACTTCTCATTAACGTTTGTCCGGTTTTGAAGATCCTTCGAGATGCATTTCATCCTTTATATGTATCCAAAAGAGGATTGGTTTGGCTCAGAATTGTACTTTGTATTAATTTCATGGTTTTTCTGAATTTGAAAGTGGATGAGCACTGAAATCACGTACACTATGTTTGATTCAAGGAATTTTATAAAGAAAAAAAAATGAATTTCTCTCATTTTTCTCATCAAAATGGAAAGAATTTGATTTTTCTTCCACTTAGTACATTTACTTTCTCATTTTCTTTTCCTTTGACTTTTTCTTTCTTTTCCTCCCTAACCAAATAAGAAAAAACTGTTTTCCACCTCATTTTCTTTTCTTTTCCTTTTCAAATTTCTTGAACCAAACATAGGGGTAGAAATTTAAAGGAATACGAACGACGAAAGCACTCCGTTGGCCGATAATAACACTCTGAGAGACCAACGCAAGGTGAGCAAACAAGTAGCGCATTTTTGTTATTGGCAGAACCTAGAGCTGGAAAATCGGTCGGTTAGGTCGGGTTCGAGTTCGGTCACTTCAAGTTCGGATTATTTCAGGTTCGGGTCAATTCGGGTTCGGGTTGAGAACTGTATGTTCATGATCCAGTGTCATCGGGTTCGGGTCGACCCCACGGATTATGACTTTGGTTTTTTAAATTTTTAAATTCACATTAACACTTACATTTTCTATTTAATAAATTTAAAATATCAATAAAAAATGTATTAAATCTATAAAATTATTTTATTTTAAACTTTGAAGTAATTTTTAGATATATAAATCAATATAAGGAATTTAAAAATGCTTAAGTTTTGGAAAAAGTAAGATAATTATGTAATATCATTAAAATTTTGTCTGAAAATATAAATTTATACACTAAAAACGAGTAGTAAAGTGTATAATTTTGAAAAATTCTTTCTTTAGCGGGTCGGTCAGGTCAGGTTCGGTCGGATTTGATCCATTTTTAGCCGGTCATTTCGGGTTCGGTCAACTTCGGGTTCGGTGATCAAAACTTTTGTTCAAAACTCTGTTTTTTTGGATCGGTTTTGGGTCAATGACTCAAAAACTGGTCGGGTCATTTTTTGCCAGGTCTAGCCAGAACCTGAGTATGTTCTCTCAGTTTTAGAAAATAATATACTTCCTCTGTTTCGTAAATAATGTTGTATTATACCTTTTTTACCTACCTCAAACTAATTAAGGTTTTGCATTCCATATACAATTTCTTATCTTTAAATAGTACTTGAATAATTTCTACTGGTGAGAACAATATACAATGATGGTAGACATTTAGCTTAAACAATATACAGTAGCATTGGACATTTACTTGAACAATGAACATTGAACAATAACTTAATGGTACTATATTGAGAAATAAAAACATACTCCCTCCGTCCCAAAAAGTCCGACACATTTCGAAAAAACTGCGTCCCATAAAATCCATTACATTTCTATTAAAAAACCACTTTTACCCCTTACTTTTTCATACCCTACCTATCACATCATACCTTTTTCTTAATAATCTGCCCATCACATTCTACTTTTACCCATCACATCAAGAGTATTTTTGGAAAGTCAACACTAAAATATCACTCCCTTAATCTCCCAAAAATTCAATATGTACCAATCTTTTTGGGACGGAGGGAGTATAACACTACATTAAAAATATCACTATATTTTAGTACTACCATTTAGATAAATTCTCCTATTTTTATCTCTCTTCTCTGTTAAATTTTCAACGACATAATTTTTAGTTTTACTTAACATCTGTTTCCGGTCATTTGTAGAACCCGGTCAATCGAGAAACATAATTGTAAGACGTAGGGATCCGAGCAACATAGACAAATACCAAGTATTCCATTTGTCCAAAAAAAAAATATCTGGATGGATAGGGGGACGGAGGAAGTAAACTTAGTAAAGACAAACATGCATGCATAGTGAACTTAAAATTTGGTTATTAAAAGGCAATTAAGGACCACGATTATTATTAATTATATTACTCGATCCCTAAGAGCGTTGGTAGCTTGCTAATTACAGTAATTAATTAAGAGGCACATTTAGTACAGGTGCAGTCGGCACCGCATCGACACCCGGACTTCCCCCCGCTGATCTCCGCCCCGGCGGGACAGCCGCAGGGGTTGCAGCCGCAGTGGTCGCCGCACGGGCACTGCTTGTGCCCTTCTCCTCCGGCTCCGGTGGCGGCGCACCTGCAGGCGGTGCTGCCCGGGCAGGGCGACGGGCAGCCGCACCTCTCGTCGCAGACGGCCCCACTTCCCCTCATTTCGTCCGCCATTGTTTCACTTCTACTTCTTCTTCTTAGGTACCATCTTTCGGTCTAGCTAGTCGTGGCTATTAAATACCACTCCGTCAGGAGGTGTGGGTACACGTGGCAAAGCAGAAAGAAGACATGTGGCAGCTGATCCGATTCTTTGCATGCATTATGTGGTTGTACCCCCCCTACAAGCATGCATGCCACGCGTCCAATTACTCCCTTAGCCATATATAATATGTGAAATTTGCACTAAATAGAACTAAAACATAATGACTTTCTTAATCTAGGACTTAAACTTTTTTATTCCCTAAATAGGACTTAATAATGTCTTTGTGGAAGAAATAATGCCCAGCAATGATAGACATTACTTGAATAATGACTAAAGAATAATGACCAAAGGTCCTACATTCGAAAATAAAAACATATGGTCCTATTTTGAGAAAGACATTATGTTTTAATCCTATTTAGGTAAATTACTCTATATATATATCTTCTTTTTATTTTTGACTTTTGTGTACATTTTTTTTAATTTTGATCATAAATTAATCATAAATTACAAAAAGGGTACGCGAATTTAATTTAGAATCAATAGATAAATTTTGAAGTACATTTTTTAAATGTCATATTTTCATAATAGATGTCTTTACATAAAATAAAGATTAGATATTAATGCTCAAAGCGTTTAATTGAAAATCATTAAGACTTAATATCAAAAAAATATATGAGTCGGAAAGAGTGATAGTCAAAACATTACAATTGAGATCGTTATCAAAAGAGAGGAATCAATGTACGTAGACGAGAGCCTATATTATACATCCCCGTGTACCTTGAGCTAGGTACACCGATCAAATGTTTATTTTGAATCAATGTAGTGTTTATTCTGAAGCAATATACGCTTTATTATTACACATTTGTTCATTACGATAAAAATATTGTCTTACAAATGACTTGGTGTTCGTTCTGACACAACGTAGTGTTGTTTTCAAGCGTGTTTAGCATTGGTTTCATTTCAAACAACATAGTGTTGACTCTGAAGCAACGTAATATTTATTTTAAAAGAACGTAGTGTTTACTTTAAAATATTTTATAATTATAAGTTACTCATGATATACTGCATATCTGACTGTACTAAGCGGTATTTAAAAAAAAGCGTCCTTGACCTTGTTCCCTTGAATTTGTTCATATTAATTTCTAACGGAGTATTACTTTTTCTTATTAAAATTAGCTGAGTTCCAATCAGATCAGATGAGAATAAGTTTTAAATATAACTACATTTAAATCAGATTAGATTAAAATTTATTCTAATCACATCAGAACCATTAATTAGGTGGAGAGAATATGACCTAAATGGCTAAATCTACTTGAATGTAATTAGGTTCACAAGCTCTTTATTGGCTTCCCATGCAAAGAGGAGAATGCGCTGAGGCCATTACTTTTTCTAAAATTAAAACAAAACAAAAAAGTCATTTTCTTACTACTCTTTGATGAAATGATCTAATTAAATTAGTTATGCATGCATGCATGACGATTAACAAACCTTAACTATATACGATCGAGTAGAATAATTAATTAATTAATTACAACTTAACGATGGCTAGTTTATCAAACCAGCCATCCAAGAAGGCGATCATCAGGAGCCCGGAGAGATCCTCATTGTCAAGATCCTCCCAGCCCGCCGCCGCCAGCAGCCGCGGGGGCTCCGGCGGGCAGACGGTGAAGTTCGCACGGCGGACGTCGAGCGGGCGGTACGTGAGCCTGTCGAGGGAGGACCTGGACATGTCGGGGGAGCTGGCGGCGGCGTCGGGGGACTACATGAACTACACCGTCCACATCCCCCCGACCCCCGACAACCAGCCCATGGACGACGCCGCCGCCTCCTCCTCGGTCGCCGCCAAGGCGGAGGAGCAGTACGTCTCCAACTCCCTCTTCACCGGGGGGTTCAACAGCGTCACCCGGGCCCACCTCATGGACAAGGTGATCGAGTCCGAGGTCAGCCACCCGCAGATGGCGGGGTCCAAGGGCTCCTCCTGCGCTATGCCCGCCTGCGACGGAAAGATCATGAGGGACGAAAGAGGAAACGACGTCACTCCATGCGAATGCAGGTATATATGCCGTATGTACATTTTTTTTAAAAATTTTTTTCTCATAAATAAACATGCATGATATTAATTATTGATATAAAAATAATTTTATTAGTTTATCTTATACCCTTGTAGTATTATATTTTCAAAATATTGTTTTACCTAATTAATATACCATATTTTAATTTAATTATAGACCGAAGGTAGAATATGGTTGACTTCAAAAATCAAAACTAAACAAATACTCAGGGACAAGTTTATACTACTTCTACCTATTTTGATTACACTTTATGAAAAGAGAATATTTAATTATAATGTAAATTTGATATAATTGAATTTATTTTAAGATATTTCGTATAATTTGATAAATCAAATTATTTTAGCATGTGTTTATATAAGAGTATATATTGAATTTATTAATAGTCAAAGTGTGTAAAGAGTTATCGAAAAAGTTAAAATGTAGAATTTTGTTAGGACAAATGAAGTAAAAATTATTTATATGGTAAGTACTTATTAAAAAAAAGAAAAGTTAAAAGGTGTAATGACTTTCCATATTTGCCCTCCAAGACTTACAAGTTACAACTAAAGACTTGATTTAATTTTAACTTGTTGGGGTTTTTGGTTGTTTGTGTTAGGTTCAAAATATGCAGGGACTGCTACATGGACGCCCAAAAGGACACGGGACTGTGCCCGGGGTGCAAGGAGCCCTACAAAGTAGGGGACTACGAAGAGGACGTCCCGGAGTTCACGAGGGGCGCCGCGCTGTCCTTGCCGGGGCCGGGCGGCGGCGGCGGCGGCTCCAAGAGGGACAGCCGGAACAGCAACATGTCGATGATGAAGAGGAACCAGAACGGGGAGTTCGACCACAACAAGTGGCTGTTCGAGACGCAGGGCACTTACGGCTATGGGAACGCGTACTGGCCCCCGGACGAGATGTACGGAGGCGAGGACGAGGACGGGATGATGAAGAGAGGCATTTTGGATAGCTCCGCTGATAAGCCTTGGAAACCACTTAGTAGGAAATTGCCCATTCCCAATAGCATCATTAGCCCTTACAGGTAGGTATCTTTTATACAAACTGCTACTCCCTCCGTCCCTTAAAAAAGTTCCTGTTTTGACTTTTTGAGGATTTACGTGGAGTGTATTTTGGTGTTGACTTTCCAAAAATGCCCTTTGATGTGATGGATAAAGTAGGATGAGATGGATAGATTAATAGAGAAAAAGTGTGATGTGATTGGTAGGTTAAAAATCAGCAGGGGTAAAAGTGACTTTTTAAAAGGAAAAAGGAAAGTGCTTTTTGGGACGGATAAAAAAAGAAAGGAGAACTTTTTTACGGGACGGATGGAGTATTTAGCTTTTAAAATTCAGGTATACTCTGATATTTTGATGGTTTACACTCACACAAAATGCGACTGCGTTAACAAAAATTTGTACTAACATTATGTGCCGTAATACTACACTCACACAAAATAAAGGGGGACAGAGTAGAAATAGTTTAATCCATCAAAATTTTGTTGTTGATATTGCAACAGGTTGCTTATAGCAGTTCGGCTAGTAGTGCTGTGTTTCTTCCTGGCATGGCGGATAAAGCACCCAAACGACGACGCATTATGGCTGTGGCTGATGTCCGTCACCTGCGAGATCTGGTTCGCCTTCTCGTGGATCCTGGACCAGATCCCCAAGGTGTGCCCCTGCAACCGGTCCACGGACCTGGACGTCCTCCGGGAGAAGTTCGACCTGCCCTCCCCCTCCAACCCCACCGGCCGCTCCGACCTCCCCGGGGTCGACTTCTTCGTCTCCACCGCCGACCCCGACAAAGAGCCCCCCCTCGTCACCGTCAACACCATCCTCTCCATCCTCGCCGTCGACTACCCCGTCGAGAAGCTCGCCTGCTACATCTCCGACGACGGCGGCGCCCTCCTCACCTTCGAGGCCATGGCCGAGGCCTGCAGCTTCGCCGACCTCTGGGTCCCCTTCTGCAAGAAACACGACATCGAGCCCCGCAATCCCGAGAGCTACTTCAGCTTGAAGGGGGACCCGACGAAGAACAAGAAGCGGACGGACTTCGTGAAGGACCGGCGGCGGGTGAAGAGGGAGTACGACGAGTTCAAGGTGAGGATAAACAGTTTGCCTGATTCGATACGGCGGCGGTCGGACGCGTTTAATGCCAGGGAGGAGATGAAGATGCTGAAGCAGATGAGGGAGAGCAGCGGGAGCGAAGCTCACGAGCCGATAAAGGTGAAGAAGGCGACTTGGATGGCCGATGGCAGCCACTGGCCCGGAACTTGGGCCGTGCCTAGCACCGACCACGCAAAGGGTGATCATGCTGGCATACTACAGGTAGGTATATATACATCCTACCCACTCCATCCGTCCTGTATTAATGTTCCACAATTGACCAGAAACGAATATTAAGAAAAGTTAAATTTTTTTATACAGTATTTAATAAAAGTATGTATATATAGGTCCAGACCCTACTGTAGTAGGATTCAACTGGTTGTTGTTGTTATGTATATATAGGTAATGTTGAAGCCCCCTAGTTGTGATCCTTTGATGGGAGGGTCCTATGATGAGGATAAGCACCTCTTGGACTTCTCCGACGTGGACATCCGTCTTCCCATGTTTGTCTACATGTCGCGGGAGAAGCGGAGAGGGTACGAGCACAACAAGAAAGCGGGTGCGATGAACGCGTTGGTCCGGTGCTCGGCCGTGCTCTCAAACGGCCCCTTCATGCTCAACCTCGACTGCGACCACTACGTGTACAACTGCAAAGCGGTTCGCGAGGGGATGTGTTTCATGATGGACCGAGGCGGAGAAGACATCTGCTACATCCAGTTCCCTCAGAGGTTCGAAGGCATTGATCCCTCGGATCGCTACGCCAACCACAACACCGTCTTCTTTGACGGGAACATGCGCGCCCTTGATGGGATCCAGGTATACATATAGGGGAATTTACTTAAATAGCCCCAGACTCTGATATCATATTAATTGAGTTGACTTTAAAAACTATATGTAGGGGCCGGTATATGTGGGCACAGGAACTATGTTCAGAAGATTTGCTCTGTACGGGTTTGATCCGCCGCAAGCGGACAAGAGCCCGCAGAAGGCGGCGGATGCCCACCCGTTAAACACCATAGACTTCGACCCGGACCTGGATGTGAACCTTCTTCCCAAACGCTTTGGGAACTCCACTGTCTTAGCAGAGTCCATTCCCATTGCTGAATTCCAAGGGCGGCCCATTGCCGATCACCCCGCCGTTAAGTACGGCCGGCCCCCGGGCATCCTCCGTGTCCCCCGTGAGCCACTCGATGCAGCCACCGTTGCCGAAGCCGTCTCTGTCATATCTTGCTGGTAAGCCCGTATTTCGAATAGGGGAATTCATATGACCATATTTTTTTATTTCGGAATGTAGGACCATTGGACATTATTCATTAATCATTATTTAATTAAATATATATTTCCTCCGTCCCAAAAAGATTTACACGTTTCAAAAAAATTGTGTCCCACAATCCCTTACCCATTTCTATTAAAAAACCACTTTTACCCCTTACTTTTTCAAACCCTATCTATCACATCATACCTTTTTCCTAATAATCTACATATCACATTATACTTTTACTCATCACATCAAGGGTATTTTTGGAAAGTTAACACAAAATTATCCATCCCTTAATTTCTACTTTAGTCAAAATGTACCCATCTTTATGGGACGGAGGGAGTCCTATTTAGAAAATAAAAAGGTTTAAATCTTATATTGGAAAATGACTTCTGTTTTAGTCCTATTAAATACAAATTTTCATTTCGAGTAATAGAAAGCACCCTAAATAGAACTAAAACATAAAGGAAAGTACCAAAATAGGACTTTCATGTTTTTTTGCGAAATAGGACTTCACATTATGGTAATGTGACATTGTACATGTCCACATTACTGTACGTTTTGGTAATGTACATGACCATGTTTGATAATGTAAATGCATTTTAAATCTTATGTGTGGAGAACAGGTATGAAGACAAGACGGAGTGGGGGGATAGGGTGGGGTGGATATACGGGTCGGTGACGGAGGACGTGGTGACCGGATACCGGATGCATAACCGGGGCTGGCGCTCCGTCTACTGCATCACCAAACGGGATGCGTTCCGGGGTTCCGCCCCGATCAACCTCACCGACCGCCTCCACCAAGTTCTCCGGTGGGCCACCGGCTCCGTGGAGATCTTCTTCTCGAGGAACAACGCCTTCTTCGCGTCCCGGCGGCTCAAGTTCCTCCAGCGCTTGGCCTACCTCAACGTCGGGATCTACCCCTTCACCTCCATCTGCCTCCTCGTCTACTGCTTCCTCCCGGCCCTCTCGCTGATCTCCGGCCACTTCATCGTCAAGAACCTCAACATTGCCTTCTTGCTCTACCTCCTCACCATCACCATATGTCTCATCTCTTTGGCCCTCTTGGAGGTCAAGTGGTCCGGCGTTGGTTTAGAAGAGTGGTGGCGGAATGAGCAGTTTTGGCTCACTTCCGGCACCAGCGCCCACCTTGCCGCCGTCGTCCAGGTACTGGCTCGCATACTTCTATTCTAGTGGAGTCAAGTGACACCTAAGTGATTTTTTTTGAGTATTTGTTGGGGAACTTTTTCAATTAAACTACCTCAAAATGACACTTGAAATTTAAAAAAAAGAAAAATTTGCACTAAATAGGACTAAAACATACGGAGTAAGTCATTTCTCAAAATAGGACTTACACTTTTTTACACTTAATTAATAATGACCAAAAGTCTTATATTAAGAAATAAAAACATATGGTCATATATTGAGAAAGTTATTACTCCGTATGTTTTAGTCCTATTTAAGTAAATTACTCCTTCCCTCCCTCCAAAATAAAGTTTAACATTTTTTTTTTCATTCTAAAAAAAAATTACTTTCCATTTTTGTTGTGAGAAGTTTGGTTGAGAATGTTGAAAAATGTTTTGCCAAAAAGAGAAGACAAATTCCTCTAAATAAGGTTAAATTTCCGTTGACTATTACTTTTCGAGATAGCCAAAAGCGAAAAAAATGAACACATGAAAGTCATTTTCCCCATTCCAAATAGGAAACTCTAGTCTCAAATGTTTGTTTTGAACTTTTCTAAACAAATTTTTGCAACTGATTCTAGTGAAATTTGTGTAAATTATAGATAATTTGTCATGAAACTTTTGCCTTCATGAAGTAGCTATTACATGTAATTAACCTCACTAATTATCTCATTATACTGATAACCTGCAGGGACTCCTCAAAGTCATTGCCGGCATCGAGATATCCTTCACCCTCACATCCAAATCCGCCGGGGAGGACAACGACGACATCTACGCCGAGCTCTATCTCGTGAAGTGGAGCTCACTGATGATCCCGCCGATCGTCATCGCGATGGTCAACATCATCGCCATCGTCATCGCCTTCTCGAGGACCATCTACAGCCCGATCCCGCAGTGGAGCAAGTTCATCGGCGGCGCCTTCTTCAGCTTCTGGGTTTTGGCCCACCTGTACCCCTTCGCGAAGGGCTTGATGGGGAGGAGGCGGAAGACACCGACGATTGTTTTTGTGTGGTTGGGTCTCATCGCCATCACTCTCTCCCTCCTCTGGATAGCCATCAGCCCGCCCAAAGGCGCAGCCACAACGGCAGATCAACTCGGTGGCGGCGGCGGTGGTGGTGCAAACTTTCAATTCCCTTAAGAGTGAGGAATGCGCGGTTTTTCAGAGCCTTTCGTACAATGCTCTGTTCGACACCGAAGTGGTTCATAACCTCCTCCAAACACACATTGTATTACACGATGTGAGGGGTTGGACACACTTTGGGATCGAAGGCAGATTGTTTTGGGTGTCATGAAATGACACCCAAAGTAGATGTATGTCCAAAGAAAATCATGTATATTATGTCCTAATTTATTATGTGAAATTTGCACTAAATAAGACTAAAACATAACGACTTTCTTAATGTAGGACTTAAACTTTTTTTATTACCTAAATAGGACTTATTAATGACCTAGTGGGAGGAATAATGTCCAGTAATGATGGACATTTAGTTGAAAGAATATATATTTGGTTTTAACATTCTAATTGATTTTTAATATACACGTTTGATTGAATGTTTTTAAATTTAACTGCGCCTATATTTGTGTTTAAAGAGAATTGAATGTGTTTCTAGAATAATTGTTGTTATCGATCACTCCTGCAAAATGGATGTGTTTTGGGAGTTTGGTTGGTTGTATCCCTTGCAGAGTTGTTTCATTTGGCGGACTGCCTCCACCATTTGAGGTTGCCACCCCTTTGGTTGTTGGAGACCTGAAAATTTGATTAATATTAGTCATTCTTGACGGTCTGACTCGTAGACAAACTACACATCCACACCCATACGAATAATTGCATTTGTCTAAATAAAAAAGAGTAAATTTCATAATTGGTCCTTTATAACAGGAAAATTTCTATATTTAGTCTTCCATTCTCAAATATTACTCCTGTAGTCCTTATTTTATGGGTCCCTTTCCACAAATGGTCCTTTTTTTAATCTTCTGTCATGTTAATGTTAATTTAAAGGTTAAAAGTATAATTTGACATCAACCTTATGTCCAATGACGTATTCTAATACTCCCTTCGTCCCGCTATATTCGTCCACTTTTGACTTTTGGAACTGTTCATCTAAGCACTTTGACTCATCAAATTTTCTCAATGTGTAAGCTTAAATATAGTCATGTGTGATCTTGTTTGATTTGTCTTAACATATATATTATTAATATATAATTTCTATAATTTTTAAATATACAAATTACAAGATAAAATGGATTAAAGAAGTGTATTGGATGGTGTGTAAAAATGAAAGTGGACAAATACTCTGGGACGGAGGTAGTATTGGTTAGACGAATAACACAAAAATAATGACTATGATTTTGAGTTGGGATTCTGATGAAAGACCACATCTGTAGACTATGGTCATAGTATAAAGTGACTAATTCACAAACAACGCATTAGGAGCGATCTTTGGAATTGTGTGTGACAAGATATATTATCATTGTAAAATTATACTTTTAGGTCTCAAATTAACACCAATACGATAGAAGATAAAAAAGACTATTTGTGAAAAGATACACATAAAAGAAGGACCATCGGAGTAATATTTGATAATAGAGGACTAAATATGGAAACACCTTATTATAAAGGACCAATTATGAAATTTATCCTAAAAAAGATAGAAAGTTAATTCTGAGACTGATGAGATAATTAATGATATTTAATTTGTACAAACGTTTTCTTTTATTAACAAATTTCAAGCAAATTTACAAATTTTCAACTCATAAAAATCAAATGCTCCAAAACTAAAAGTGAAGCATGAATGCATGATTACCGTTGTACGCCAACAAAAGTAAAGTAGAAAAAAAAGTGAAGCCCAATAGATTGTGATAAAAAGTGGCCAAAAGTGCTTTCCAAATGACTAAATAATTCATCCATTTTGAAGAGAGTGGAATAATGGCGTGGCTCCATCAAAAATGTTTTTTAGACCATAGTGATGCCTTCTTTGTTTTTTTTTTCAGTTTGATTAAAAAGGGTTGCCCTATATGCTTCCCTATAAATTAAAAACACTCAATTGTAACCTTTTTTATCATACTACACATGCTTGGATATATTCTGCAATTTGATTTTTTCGAATCAGAGTAAAAAGAGAAACAGTTTACATTTTTATGGACCAAAAGAGAAACAAAAGATGAAAGGAAATCTAGAAATTAAATGGGCTATATTACTCCTTGTGTTTGGAAAATGAAACTGTGAGAATTTCATGTGTAAACTTTGGAAAGAGATATGTTGTGTTATTGGTTTCTATTTTCTAAATCACAGGAGGTATCGAACCCAACTTTGATCTACAAAGGCACAAATGTTTCTTTACAACTCAGAGAGTTTATCTCGCTATTTGATAATATCTTCGTCCAAAAGCATTTGCATAGTTTTTATTTTTACAGTTAAAATTGATAAAATATTGTGTATTGATATACGAATAATTTCATTAGATTTATTCTTTAAAATGTTTTCAAAATATCTCTTTATCTAATTAATATAGCGTGTAGTTTTTATTTAATTATAGATCAAAGATAAATCTGAGTTGACTGCAAAAAATTAAAATTAGACAAATATTGTGAGAGACTAAGATTCATCTCTTTAAATAATTGAAGATTAATTATTGAGACACTTCTCATCACTAAAAGCTACCTTCAATTCTTTACTTGACGACAAGACTCCTCTCTCTCTCTCTCTCTAGTCTCTATCTCTCAGCTAGTCCACACTCCACACTTCGCTAGCATCCAAAACCAAGAACCCCACGAGGCAACTTTTGTTACTTCCTCCGTCCCAAATTATTTGCTACATTTATATTCTCGAGGTAAAATATCAAGTTTTTTCAATTCATTTTATTTACATATTGGTAAAGAAATAAAATATAAAATTTACATATAAAAAAAGTACATGAAAAGTTCTTCGAAATAAGAGGTGTCAAGAATATTTTATTTTATCAAATAACCAATGAAAACGTCGAAATAAACAAAAGTTCTCGCGACTTCTGAAAAAACAAATGTTGTGAATATTTAGGGACGGAGGGAGTAGTTAAGAAAACCAATGTTTTTTTTTTCATCTTTGATTGGCATAAATGCCTGCTCAAATCTCTACAAAAAAGAAAAAATAACAAAATAAGAGTTTTATGTTTTTTTTCCCCGAAATAAGAATTCGCACTGTGATAATATGGTGGTAATGTGGCACTGTACATATGCACATTATTATACTTTTTGGTAATGTAAATGTATTTTAATTCCTATTTCGAGAATAAAAACATAGAAGTTCTATTTTGATATATTGATAGAATTTAGGATGGGATATAGACAACTGGATTGGGCAATAATTAAGACACTTGGGCTGAACCACATTAAAAGATTGAATCCAATCGATTCGTTAGTTCAACTCAGAAGCTTATATACCGATTATTTTACTCTGGAACTTCTGATATGAGATGGACTTTAACATATATTTTCAATGTTACTCATACTTGAATCCTTTTCCCTCTAACCTTTTATCAACCAAATGAGTCATCTCTCACAATTTCTTTTCTTCACAATATATATATGATGAATACACACGTACGTTTACACTCATTCACCTTCATCCATTTCAATCAATAATGCTCTCAATCATAAATCACACTCATATATATTTATATACGTACTATATATATATTATCCATATATGATCCCAAATCTCCATTATATTATATCCCTTCCACCATACACTACAAATAAATTAAACATGTTGTAATAATAATATTAACAATAATATGGCTCTTCTTCCCCAAGCAACAACTTTCCTCATCCTCTTACTATTCTCCTCATCTCATGCAACCTTAGACGAAGACTATGATAAACAGTCCGAGTTCTTCGCTCTGATGAACGAATCGCTCACTGGAGACAGCATGACGCATTGGTGGCGGGGTGGCAAGACCGCCGCCGTGTGTGACTACAGGGGAGTTGGCTGCGACGGCAAAGGGCGCGTCGTGAAACTTGACGTCTCCGATTGGTCGTTGTCCGGCGAACTCCCCGACGATCCGTGCTCTTATCTCCCGGAGCTGAGAATCCTCCGGCTCGGCCGCAACGACTTCCGCGGAGGTTTCCTCCCGAGCATCGCCAACTGCTCTTTCTTGGAAGAGCTCAACGTGAGCGGAGCGTATCTCCGGGGGCCGTTGCCCGACTTCTCGCGTCTTCGGGCTTTGAGGTCGCTCGACCTCTCCTACAATCTCTTTGGGGGTGATTTCCCCGTGTCCTCGGTCATGAACCTCAGCAATCTGGAGTTTTTGAACATCAATGAGAACACGGGGTTCAACCCGTGGGAAATGCCTGAGAGCATTTCCCAACTGGGGAAACTCAAGCATGCGATTCTCATGAGCTGCATGTTGGGAGGAAGAATCCCCTCGGCGATTGCGAACCTCACGTCCCTCGTGGATCTCGAATTGAGCGGGAACTCCCTCGTGGGAAGTATACCCCCCGAGCTCGGAAGCCTGAGAAGCTTGGAGCTTCTAGAGCTTTACTACAACCAGCTCGAGGGCGATATACCCGAGGCGCTTGGGAACCTGACTAGACTTCAGGATTTGGATTTGTCCGTCAACGCGTTGACGGGGAAAATCCCAGACTCGGTATGCTTGCTTCCTAGACTCGACTCTCTACAACTTTACAATAACTCTCTCTCTGGAGACTTCCCGACTTCTCTCGCAAACTCTACTACTTTGAGAATCTTGTCCCTTTACACCAACCGCCTGACGGGTGTCGTGCCTCGTAACTTCGGGGCATTTTCTGCGCTCGAAGCCCTAGACTTGTCGGAGAATGAAATCTCGGGAGAGTTACCCCGCGGTTGTGTTCGCGGGGGAAGTTGAAATACATCCTCCTACTCCAAAACAAGTTCTCTGGAACTATTCCAGAGAGCTACGGAGGATGTTGGACGCTTGTCCGGTTTAGAGTCAATAACAACCATTTGGTTGGAGAGATACCGGAGGGGATACTCGGCCTTCCACACGCTTCCATCGTTGACGTGAGTTACAATCACATGACGGGTCCAATCTCGAGAACGATTGCAAATGCTAAGAACTTATCGCAACTATTGCTCCAAGGTAACAACATTTCAGGCACGCTAGTGCCCGAAATTGGAGGAGCGATCAATCTCGTGAAGATTGATTTGAGCGACAACCGCTTGTCGGGGCCAATACCCCGAGAAATCGGGAACCTCAAAAGGCTCAACGTGTTGTTTCTACAAGGAAACGAGCTCAACTCTTCCATTCCCGACTCGCTATCTTCACTTCCCACACTAAACGATCTCGACGTCTCTCGCAATCTTTTGACAGGAGAAATCCCCGCGAGCCTTGTCCGACTACTACCAAACACCATGAACTTCTCAAACAACATGCTCTCGGGTCCTATACCAATCCCCTTCGTAAAGAGCGGGTTGCGCGAGAGCTTCTCGGGCAACCCATCTCTATGTCTTCCAGAGCCCTTTTTAAACTCATCATACACTACGAGCCTCTCGCTTTGCG